CTTGACTTGGATTTGGAGAGTAATGAACGAAATTGGATGCTATTCTATCCAATTGGCGTGGACAATCAAAGCGCCATAAAGGCGAAGTCTATAGAGTATGAAAATGATCAGCATTCTAGGTTTCTCAACAAAGGACTGGAACATTCGATCAGTCCTGCACTCAAACTTGACAAGACAAAGTTGTCAAGGCCTCAAAACAAGAGTTCCATGACTTGCCCACAAGAGGAGAGTATTCCTTCCACTAATTCGCAGTTGGTAGACGAATGTCTTGATCCTGGGCACTCACTCCAAAATACAGGGAACCAAAACCATGGTAAGAAACCTCGTATGAAAGATTGTGCTACACAGTATACTTCTGCCGAGTTTGAGTGTGCACCGAAGCATGAACAAGCTTTGTGCAGAGAGTCTATTGTGGAGGGAGCGCATGAAGTTAAGACCCCTGTGGAGATACACAAAGGAACACTTCTGAATGCTGAGGAAAATCATCATGGCAGCCCGGCGTCCGCCGAAGAGGTTTACATCAGCGTCTCATCAAAAGACCGTATCATCTGTTTCGATTCCCACGCATGACGAGGGAAAGGGTTTAAATGAGCTAATAACAGCTCGTTTGTGACTATTCGTATTCGTAAAGTAGGTATCGAGAATGTACTGGTTTTCCACTATATATGTTTCGTCTCTCAGTAAGCATCTTGAAGGTTTTTACTTCTTCACATTGAGTTCTGTGAATGCGTTAACTTGTTCAACCGCTATTAGAGAGTTTGGTAAAGCAAGCAGATATACAATAGAAGGAGAGATACCGGAGTGCCCGGATTTTTGCTATTCAGGGAAGACAGATAGAACGCTGTTTTTCTACCAACATTCAATTCAAAATGCAACAAACTGCGAGGGAAGAGGATAAGATATCCTGTATACGAAATGTAGATATGAGCTTGTCCTACAACGAATTCGTCGAGAAATGATGCGTTAGGAATTGAATTAACATCACTTCTCTTAAACTGCAACTAAGCCCAGCCAAGCTCCGATGATATTCCGAGTCAGATTCAAAAGATCAAAACCTCTCGTGTCGACGAAACCAGCCTAGAGAGGATCACCACTGAACAATGAAAGTAACTCTGTAGCACGCGGGTGGGTGTGGTACGTTCTCTCCACATGGAATCCTTTTGAACTGAACGACGGTCAGACCCTCCGACCTGCAAGTGCCCACTTGACAAAATACAAAAATCTGTTCAATAACAACAGACTTTCCATTTGACATAGTCCATGTGCATCTGATATGTAAAACAGCAAGAAAGGATGTGTTGTTGGAATCAGCGTACGTGACGCATGGAAATTTTCCGATGTCAAGAGCTTCTCGAATGCCTCCGGATCCAGTAGGTACATCTCCATTGGCGAACATGTTGAGGAATACTGGTGTGGTTGCGTTTGTTGAAAAGTCGATCAGTGGATCTGGATCTGCAGCCTTAACTCTCTCTACCAACAATCAGGCATATGCTACAATGAATACAAGCATGAGCATACCATCTTGGACTTGCAGTCAGCCTTCCAGATGTTCATCATCGATTGGGGAAGTAGAAAAGTGCAGATCCAATATGTTATCAGGGTCTGATGAAACCCAATGCGAGAGGAGGAAGATCTCACTGAGCTTGGTGGAGTGACGTTTGGAGCGGGTCTATTTACATATGGTTGAAGTGTGTCACACTAGTCAGCAATGCAGTAAATAAAGTATCTGGATGCGACTGTACAAATTGATCTCACGCTTAACTTGTGAACTTGTGAATGTTTATATTTCAAGTCTGGGTTTAAACATCTTTAAACAGTCTCCAATGGAGCGCTGCTGCTGTTCGCATCATTCTTGTGCGAGAATTTTGAAGGTTTCATGTTCTGTTTTCTATATGTCACGGAAGTTCCTCTTCACGCCAAGATAGTGGAAGTCGGGTCAGTTTGATCCATGTTTTCGAGTCACTTGATCATGTGCAGCTACACTTGAGATTCTTTCAACCTCCACATTGTTTTCATATTCAACCCAAACCATTTGTATATGTGTTCACATATGATCCTGTCGCGTTGTAATCATTCTTGTGAGAGAAATATGAGGGCTCTTATTGGCATGTATGGACAACTGTTTAGTTGAGTTCATTGGCGAATTTACAAAGCTCGGATTTCTGTACTGCTATAGACAATGCTGGCTTAAATTGGTGGGTTAAGAACATCTTATCACGCTGATCCTTCATGGCCACGGCCTCTTCAGCATCAACTCTAGTGCAATGTTGATTGTATTACGGCTCTATTAGTGTTACCCTGGTGTCACTCATTAGGAAGCCTTTTCTCTCCAGCAATGCTATAGACGATGCTGGTTATGTTGTTGGTGGAGGGCCGCGCGGACGCGAGCCCTCCTCTGGCACAAATTATGACGTGCATTTACCCATAGGGAAATGCTAGATCCAGACCGTCCTTGGTGCAATGGAGAGCCTGTATCTAAGTCATCGCCCTTCTAGATCAGCGATAGGCCCCGCCCAGGTAAGTATGATTTCCAAAGGTTCTGACACAGAACTTATATACCATCGTGCCTCACCACAAACTCTCTACGCATGGGTTTTTAGGACATGCAAGAGTGTGTCCAGAGATGTGGAGGAAGGAGGGAGCTTCTACTCCTTTAAACCCTCTGCATATCCGGGACAAGAAATGTAATAGATAGAGATCACAGTAACCTGAAGGACAAGTGCCAGGGAGGTGATGCAACGGGCCTGGTTTGTTACAAGAGGGATTTAGTATGGAGGAAGTCATAGTATCATGTGGATTCGATTGAGCAGCCAATCCGCCAGAAGGTAGTAATAAATCAGCGCACAGTAGATGTCGAAGATCACCAGTGCACTTGCATCATTACATTTGTACACAAAATGAACACTTCAGAACCTGGGGACGACACGTCAAAGAAGTAACGTGTATGAATTTTTACTTGCTCTTCAGGACAGTTTCGTGCGTAGTATAGTGTTTAGATGATTGATCCAATTTCGATCCAAGATGCTTGCAAGATTTCTTGCATGAATAGTGAATGGTTATACTTTGATATTGGGGGTGGTTCAAAGCCTCTTAAGCCCGTAGATAGGTAGTGTCTTTGAGTTACTCTACGCAATAATAATCTTTTTTGGTAAAGGAAATATGCATGGTTTAGATTTGCAGTGAAAATGGGAGACAATTTGAAGAATGAACGAAATAGTCGTTAAATATAATGCTTAGGCGCTTCAATTCAAAGCTCATCTCACCATCAAAATGAAAGAAAGTACATTCAAAATCCAACTGTTGTGTGCAGATTCTATTGCAAGTCACAATTGGAACCCAATTACACAGTAAAAGAAACAATGAGTGGTTTCTTACAAAGGAGCCTGATTCAGAAGACGTCAACAACGTTTTCATGGTTGATTCTGAGTGTTTAGCACACAATCCATATTTCTCACAGTTCTTTATCTGGATTCTCAAGGTTTGCATGTTGGGCATGAGAATCAAACGTGATACAAAATTACCAATTTATATGATCTCTCACTGTAGGAACATACAGTGTTTTACGAAAACAAAAGCTGAGTGGATGATACTTAAATTCTGTTCGCTTGTTCAAGCTTCAACAGCATTTCATCGAGGACACAATCAAGAGTAGACCTATCTAGCGTTTTATTCTTATATCTCTGGGAGACGCTCCATTGCCCTATTTGGCATGTGACTGACATTTCAACATCTACATCATCATCAAATTTTTTTTAAGCTTCCCGTTTTCTCGTGAGAGAGTATTGACTGTCGTGTTCCACCACAAAGCATGAAGCAGAAAAATTGTTTTAGCTACTAAGGACATGAAATATAGCGAACCAAAATACATAATTCGAATCTGGTAATCTAATGTGCTTTCTCATTGCTGATTTAGCTCACTTCCAGAACACATCATTCATTTCCCCCACACTTGCTTTACGACTATTACAATTGCAGGTTCGTTCAAGCTGTAAATTTGTTCAATTTCTTTCGTCACGACAAATACTTAGCTCGTGTAGGCATTTTTAACTCCATTGTTGGCTCTTTGCTGTCGCTGTTTGAAGTTAATAACCTACAAAAAGAACGATCCCAAAATACGATGTTTTGGAATTATCAGCAAGCCAATAACTTGCCTAAAGTAAGGACAAGGCAAATTGACTCAATTTCTAGCGATATCCACATCTACGCGGCCGTCAGTAACCATGAGAACCGTCTAGCTGACAACTCTTCAATTCTCTATCTAAAGCAATGATAAATGAGAAATGTTACACTAGTGCAAATTTTGAATCTGAAATCACAATAACGTTCCTTCCATGGGACTAAGCTAGCGCAGCGCTTTGCACTAGGAGCATTGCATTCTGTGAGCATGATCAGCGATTCGCCCAGTAGACTCCAAGCTCGCTTTTATGGGATGATAAATCCGGTAGTTATGAATCTGTAGCTCACACCTCAGACCTTTGTACTTGTCGTAACAGCAGAGGCCGGCATGGTTCAGGCACAAGCGAGCCAGCTCAAACACTGCGGGACACTAGGTTTACAATACGGTAGTTGGAAATCAGGTGCTACAGAAGATGCCGTCTTGTGTACTTATCCATGTTCTTCTAGCCGTGTGTCAGAACTTGCAGGGGAAGGGTTAGCACGCACGATGAACATAGAGTCAGTGTAACTGCTGGGGCGGGAAGAAATGGCAACCGTTTCCATTTTCAGCTTGATTTATGTACGGCTCCATCTTCTCCTGGAAATTCCGTTGAAATATTTTGCCAAGTCGTTAGGTCGTTCAGACAGTTGTAGACAACAACTGCGAAAACTCTCACCTGTACAAATAATCTTAACTTTCAAGCTGAGAAATGTACTCATAGCTCTATAGCAGAGCCCATACCCGTGCCCAGGCCCATGGGTTTTGAGTGACATTATTTTTCCATGGGTGGTCAAAAGTAATGCTAAAGGAAGTATTTGTCAAGATCCAACCAAGAATTGGCGTAATTTGCATAGCATGGGTGGGCACAGGTAATGCTATAAGTGGGAATGGGTGGGTTCAGGTCGCTGCTGATGGTTTTGGTCTGGTCTGGGTGCAGATTTGAAGTAAAATGTTGGCCTCTGCTCTATAGTTAAGAGACATGGAAGCCAGAATCTGCCCACAACTGGCAAATTCATGACCATCAGTGAACGGATGATTAGACGTGTCACGGCACTGAAGGCAATCCCTGAGAATCCGAACGCATCAGTATTCAGAGGCTGGATCACGAGGCGAAAGAATGAGCAGCAGCTATGAAAGTCACTTCACAAGAGCGAGCATTGCGGTCTAAAGCTCAAGTCGAAACACCGACTGCGCTTGAAGATGCAGATATTTCCTTCTATCGTGACGGTGTACCGATACGAGTGTCAGAAACGCACAAATCTCGCAGCATGCAAGACCTGCAGTCCTCTGTTGAAACGTCGAAGTATATATGTGAATTTCAAACAGGACATGGACATCGAGATGAAGAACGAGTTTCTTCGCACGGTGAGAAAAGAGCAAAGGCTGTCTCGAAAATAATCCAGTCTTGTAAAGTGGAGGAGTTACGTTCATCTCTGAAAGCATGGGAGCACGGATCTGGTCTTAAACCCCGACATGAAGAACAAGGGAATTCTGCCTCCCTCCTCGATGTAACAACTTCTATTAACAGGCCACTGAAATCTTGCAGTTTGAAGGAGCCTCTCTCATTTTTCAAGGACGAAAACTGCAAGTGCAACCAAGTCAAACCTGTAAGCCGTAAGTTGCAAATTAGGAGAAGCTTTCAATCAAAAGGTCGCAATAGTCATTTTAAAGGTAGCAAAATTTTCAAGGCTGGAAGTAAATATTTGAGCATGAAGATTGTGAACGTACAGAAAGTTGAGAAATCAGCTCACCCTGTGCCTACACCAAAGTCCAGTACTACGAGTGGGAATGAAACTTGGATGAAGGCCAATGATGTTCATGTGATTGGAGACTATGCATCGAGGACATCCAAGGCAACGGACGAATTTCCCAGGAGCGGAAAGCTTGCAGTATCAGGCTGTAGGGTGGACATTACAAGTGGAAAGAGAAGGCGAACTCTGACTGAGATCCTTCTCGGGCTCTTCAAGGCTGGAAGTAAAGATTTGACCATGAAGGTTGTGGACGTCCAGAAAGATAACAAATCAGCTCACACTGTGCCGACACCAGAGTCCAGTACTACGAGTGGGAATGAAACTTGGCTGAAGGCCAATGATGTTCATATGATTGGAGACTATTCATCGAGGATATCCAAGGCAACGGACGAAGTTCTCAGCAGCAGAAAGCGTGCAATATCAGGCAGTAGGGTGGACATTACAAGCGGAAAGAGAAGGCGAACGCTCACTGAGATTCTTCTCGAAGCTCCTCCTGCAGGTGAAGCAAATCCAGGACATGATTCTAAGCCTCGTAAGAAGCGGTGCAGAAAGCTTCTCGCCTCGCCTACAGAAGCAGCTCCATTGGGCCCGCTTGAGCCCGCTGACGGCCAGCTACATTCTGCACCGACAGAAGGATGCAGAACAACTTTTGGAGATAGTCCTCTTCGACAGTCCTCAGCTGCAGGTGCGTAGAATAAGGGACGGAGCATTCAAGTTCATGCACAAATTCAGGAGGCTGGCAAAATCAGAATGAACAATGAACAAACTCGTCTTCTTTGTCTTTCGTCTACATACCCCGCTCGATTATTTTTCGCTACTGGAATTCCAGTAGCGAAAAATATGGTTTAGGGTTTAATGAATATCAAATATCGATCATGAATGAGCTTTTGCTTTCTCGATTGGAGCATCTGATGATTTTGAATCAGGTCTGAACTCCAGGCTTCAGGCGGACGCACAGCATCAAGCCCAGGACCATGAAGGAGTGCAGGAAGGAGCTCGGATCGATGGCCGTGCTGATGAAGGTCTGCAGCGAATGGATCCAGGAAGGTTGGAGCATACAGATGATCGAATCTTCACAAAGACCTCGGCTCCGGACGAATGTATGTCTGGCCTCAGATGCCGTTACGATTTTGGTGCCCTCGACGATCATGAGAACTGTAAATTTAGTTTTGAGCTTAAGCATGAAGAGGTTGCTAAGTTTCTGCATGCAGTTGCCATGAGTTCTGAGGGGTTTGAAATCGGAGAAGATCTTCCGGTGCCCCCAAGTTCTACTTCTTGCTTCATATCCCGCCAGCCTGGAGATCAGGAGACTCCCATGGAGATAGATGGTTCCGATGAATCAAGAAAGTGCATGAAATATGTGGAAGCAAAGAGTCCAGCAGAGGCTGGGCTCGAAGACTCCAAGACCGTAATTAATTTCTCGATTTCGTCCAACAATGTTCTGCCTGGCCCTCCCGATCAAATCGAAGGTAGGACCTCATGATTCAGCAAATTTCAGCCTCCAAAGTCTTTCGTGGGCCCTTTGTCGGTGAGAGAAAGCTTCTGCCGCTAGTTGAGATCTGCCAATTGCTATGGGTGTAAGCGGGCGAGGGCGAGTCTGTGCAATTAGCATGAAGAAGGGCATGTCATGCATTTGGGACCATTGTCTAACCTCGATGGCTAACGTGCAGATAAAGAGCGTGCCGAGTGGAAGTACATTCGTCGAAATGTATTTCGCTGCCGACAGAGGAGGAAGAAGAATGGAGAGATCATGATCTGTCAATGCAGACCATCGAAGGGAGATCAAGCTGGCTGCGGTGATGGGTGTCTGAATCGTCTCCTGAACATCGAATGCAATCAAGAACTTTGTCCGTGTGGAGCATCATGCTCCAATCAGCGTTTTCAGAAACAGAAATACGTCGCGATGGAAATCATCGAGTGCGGAAAGAAGGGATACGGGTTGAGGATTATGGAGAATGCTCGCAAGGACACATTTCTCATCGAATATGTCGGAGAGGTCCTGGATAAAAGGGTGCGGGCAGCTCGAGAGCAAGACTACATTCGTCAAGGTCGAGAACATCTTTATTTTATGAGCTTAAGCAGAACTCAGACCATCGATGCTTCTCTGAAAGGAAACTTCGGTCGATTCATCAATCACAGCTGCGAGCCAAACTGTAAGACGGAGAAATGGATGGTCGACGGAGAAATCTGCATTGGAGTTTTCGCCATCACAGACTTGGAAAAGGGTGAAGAAATTACGATCGACTACAACTATGTCTTCGCCCGTGGGTTGTGCGTACAAAAATGTGAATGTGGCCATGGAAAATGCCGTGGATACATTGGACTCAAAGGTCGTGGTCCTTAGCGTTCTCACCCTGACATTTACGATGTTTAGTCTCCAATGGATCCAATCGGCAGTTCGTTTTGGTGCAATTTCATCGATCAAGTATATTTGACGGTAAAACATTTTCAGAATGGTCAATTCTTGATGTGGGAATTTCTCCTTCCAAGTCTTGAGATAGGCACATCGTACACTTGCTTGTAATACATAATTGTCTCGTTTACGTATCACACATTTAGCTTGTTCACTTGTACATTATGCCTCCCAGATTTTCCACTCATTCTTACAAATACAACAAGACTATGAAATTGGTGTATACAGCGAGAGCAGCTTATAACAAATGTCACATGCTAATATCACTGATCAAAAAGCATTGCCATTGAAATCTTTAGCTCACCTTAATATATCCCAAATCGAAGAGGAGGAAAAGTTTCGACTTTCTTAGAATTCCATTAGAAGTTCAGAATTTTAACTCTTGAGTCGTGTCACATACATCCAACATACTAAGACACCATCTTCTCAGATTAAAGAACAGTATGTGCATGTATCGTGTTCTTCTAGCTTTAGTTTCTCAATCTTCATCAACTCGTATCACTGTAAACTTGTAAGAATGTATGTATTTACGACTGTCCACGACTAATGCAGTGAATATGTCCAGAGGGCTTACGTTTGAATGAAACACACTGACTCTACATACATGCCTCTCCAGGACAGTAATCTCCCTGAATAGTTGGATTATGTATATTTTCCTATCCACTATCCCAACAACCAGAAATTATCTACCTTCCAAGTGAAGCTCGAGACTGGATTTCTTGGAACCGCTGGATAGTCAGAATTCTCAGATTTCTGATTAAGACTTTGGATGATATGGCTGTCACAATTTTTTCTGTTTTCAAGGTGCAGAAGAAGTCTAGGTTGGGTTTCAGTCAGTTCTAATGCGGCGCTCCAATCAATGGAATTATTTTATTTCCTCGTTTTTGCTACAAAGGTGCCAGCAAGTAAGTGTGCACGATTCTAAGATGCAGAGCGCGAATCGAAATGAACGTGGTAAGGTATTTTTTCTATCCATAAAATTATTTTCATTTTCATTTTGAACTGAGTTTGACAATGAAATATTCATCATTGCCGCTAATCATACCAATGAAACTAAAAAAAGTACGAGTAATCATTACATGTTTCGTGCATTTGCTGAATATACTGGTCACATCTTCAAACCAATGTTATAAGTACAGAATAAAACTTCGCTTATACAGCGAAGCTGTACAAAGATTTCGAAGAGGAAATCGTAATGATGACATCTGAAAAACTCCATTCGTAACCCTAAAAGTCTCTGAACAAACTAATGATTGGAATGTGCTTGGCTTTCGGGAGGTTGAAAGAGAAGTAGCTCCCACAGAAAACAAGAGCCTAATGATTGAATTGTATCTGATTCGTTCGTGAGCTAGGATGGAGCTCACGTGGAGAAGCGGCAACATCTGCAGTCTGCTAAATCCGATTAGAAGGTTCAAAGCATCTCTCATTGAGAAATATACTGCAAGTTATTTTACTCGGTAATCGAATAATCGCTTGGAAAAGAATTAATAATCGTTGGTTGTACGTGACTAATCCGGTTTCTTCCATAATTTGGACGCTTGATAGTACTGTAGTTCTCAAAGGGTTAAATGATCACAGCTTGAAAACAGTTGTGATGAAGCTAGAGAACCAATTATTTTCCTCACCGCACGGACGCTTGATGCCAACTCGCATTAGCCTTTAGATCGACATGTATTTCTTCAAAACTTTAATGAATGTGGTTTGATAGAGAGACATTGCTATATTAACACATATATGCACACATATTCTTTCTTCATCCATTTCATTGATTCTCTTAGCCCGTTTTGTTATCCTGAGGTGGTGGAACTTGCATGTACTATAACCCACAAACTAATTTAGGCGAAGCCATATTCTAATTGGCTTGTTACTCCACATAGATCTGTTTCGTTATTTATTTTCATTCACACTTGTAAAGCTTCGTCTTGTGTGAGGCTTCAGTTACTTGATATAAAAAGTGGGTACTTGTATATTGCATGAAAACTAAGTAGAAAATGTGAAACATATATTTTGTGATAGTGTTTTGGCTTTTGGCTTTTGTGGGATCTTCTTGTTTTTCAGTCGTTTATATATTTATACAAGTTATATATCTCGTAGATTTTTCTCATTACCTCAAACATCGTTTTTCTTTTCTTTTTCTTCTTATTTAGCACCTAAAAAATAAGAATTGTCCACCGTTAGATGATGTTTGTAGGCTTGGCTTACTTCTTTTCTATAAAAGAGATAGTCAAACTTTAAAAACTGATCTAGGTTTTTTCTTTAAAAAAGAAAGGAAACTTAATTTATAAGATTGACCAAAAAGATACTTATTGTTCTAATGATCACCATAACCAAATTTTTGAACTTGACGCAAGAATTATTTTATCCACAATATTTATAAAAGTTTTGAAACTCTCAATCCTTGTGACATATAGAGTTGAATGCCATGCCTTCAAGTATGAAGGCCACCTCTAAACTTCACTTGTGGCCTTCGGACCTAGATCTTCTTCTTACTATCCCTTAAATCCTCTACACAAGTCGTGGAAGACTAACTTCATTCTGGCAAGGATAGATCTTCATGAATAAATCCAATTTTCTTCCTTTCAAGTCTTTGTGTACTATCTTTCTTAACCTACGGGAACTGGGTTAGACTAAAAGGTTCATTTTGAGCATGGTGCGTGGATCTCACATTAATAAACTTCGAAAATTGGCTAATACGATTGGCAAGGTTTCTAAGTTCCTATGATTCTTGTCTTTAAAAGCATTCCTGCAAAGTAACTGTCCGTCATATTGTGCATTCTTTTCTTATGATGTAAATAAATGAAATTCGTGCAAGTAACAATTGAAATAATCTGCACCTTTTTTGCAGAATTGGTCCTAAGTATCACTTCTTTTGCTCTTCAACGAAGCAAAGATCTGAAAAAATTTGTAGTCAACGAACATCAATTAATAGCAGACTCACGGAAGCTAACATAGCTTTCACTTATAGTTACATTAGTAATATAACTTCTATACAAACTCAAGGCAGCTTTCGTGAGGGCATCAGAAAGTTGTCACCAGTTACACGTAAATCACCCTGATCACTTCAAAGACTTTCACCTCGAACTAAGATAGGAAGCACAATCCAAGACTACTCTCAAATCGATTGAACATCGAAATGAAACGTAGAAATTGAGTATCTGATCGGTGACGATAATAGGACAGCTAATCCTAACAAAGAATAATCCTTTCTTCACAAATATAAAACAGAATGATGGCAGTCAAGGCTCCTTCCTAGCCTTCTCTCCGATTTTCTGAATGTGACTGATTGGACATGTTTATTTATTGAGTTATCGCAGCCGTGTGGGCGTGATTTTTCATTTGTTTTGCGATTCAATTCAAATTTTAAGTAACTTTGTCAAAATATTTGAGCCGCTTTAGGCCTACTCCAATGATGCTTTTCTTTCTGGATAAAAAGGGCTTTCCACTTTTTTCTGGTGTTTGTAGAGTTATTCAATCACGATTTCTTTGTATGAACTGCAGAGCTATGTGTATATATAATCTTCTTTTGGAAAATCATATCATACCTGATTCAATACATTTACCTGATCTCAGAACTTATGTGGCGTGTATTTTGGCTGGGTAGACTCATTGAACAATATATTGTTTGATGAGTTGTCAAGTATAACTTTGATTTGTATTAAAGGCGAAGTCGCAAAGATTTTCTTGCCTTAATAGGTTTAGTGAGATTCTAGAAAGTTTAATTAAATAGTTCAACAATCATAGCCAAAGCTCTGCATAAAACTCGCACTCATGTCGTTTCCTTTCCCAAATGGTTCATTAAACTTAGACACTCTATTTCTCGATAAACCTAATTTTTCTACTTAGTTTGACCACAAAAAGGTTCATAAACCCACAAGTCAGAGAGTGTCAAAAGTGGACATCAGGAAACTATGAACTGCTACGGAGGTACCTGTTGATTACATTTACTAACGTGTGACAACAGACCTTGCTCAATACGAATCATTTCTGCAACTGCTTCATGACATCCTCTTAATACTTTTACTTCTTTGAAAATAAGAATATATTGAATTAGATTCAAAGACTTTACAAAAATTGTAATCTATTTCCAATCCTTATCTTAATTCAATCGGAATCATATAATCAATCACATTAATTTTTATTTTGAAATAAATTGTTATGTTCATATACCTAAAATTTCTTACGTTGTAATCAAAGAACAAAGTTTTCATCGAGCATATTATTTTCAATTTTTTTGTAATCTGCAAAACTTGTTCAAATAAGGTTTTGCCGCTTATACACTGACCACATTCAGAGCACTAGGTGAAACTGACGTGACGGTCCATTAGAGTAAGAGTTTAGGCAAGTCCTAGAAGCCATAATTCTTGTTCCACAGCAGTTTTACTTTCACACGCAACAAATCTTGTACTTGGAGAAAAGAGTAAATAAAGTTGAACGGACTAAGCATTTGGAACAAATCAACGCGTAGTCTAATTCAAGATGGAGGTCTCGGATGATGCAACGATAGTGATAGCTCTCGACGGTTACCAGCTCTCGATTTAATTCACCGTCAGTGCAATCATTTGATCACTGAGCAAAAAGCGCCAATTTTTTTGTTGCAAGTTGAAGATGTGAAGCCGTATCAGGTCCCAAAGGTTTTTGAATTTTGACTTGCATTTGGTACGATCCTTATTCCCCCTCGATCGCCGAACGACCAGAAAGTTGACGATTCAGCTCGACTTCAAGAAACGTACTCTCTTGCCTGTGGAGTCATGTCATGACGCAGGGCGATGTCCCGGAGTGGCTGGAGCTCGGTGAAGCTGACTGCTGACCTTCTTTGACCGTCAGAGGGTCACACAGATTCTGCAGTCGCAACTTCCTCTTACTCATGTTCTTTATCTTTCCATCCAGCTGTGCCATCGACCAAGTCGATCGAAGGGACTTCTAGCTGCAGAGAGGTTCTGGTGGATGTGCTGGTGAGTTCCGAATCGTTCTGCAAAATATTCCTCCAAGCGATGAAGTTCGAACTCTTCTGGAGGATAAAGGGGATGAGCCATAAGTGTCATTCTAGAACCGAGGCTTAGGGAATGAACTTGTTCTTAGTGGTGATACTTTGAGCTTGTAAATTAAGTTTAAGTGTCGGTTAGATCCATGATGTGCATGTGACTGCTGCTGCAATCGCTGCGCTTCTGGAATGTTATCGAAGTTATCTTAGAGCGAAGACAGGAACATATTTCTCTCTTGAGACTTGCTGTTTCTAATGGTTGCAAGACTTACTGCTATCATCAAAACTTAGCAGGTGGGACACAGGAGGAAGGAGCAAGGAGCAAGGATGCGTTATACAGCGATTCTGTTTTTTGGAGCGGTGATCCTTTGCTGGTTATACTTGGCAGTGTCCACGAAAATTTCTGGGCACATGGTGTTGGTTGTAGCATCTGTGATTCACCTGTCGGTCATCATGGCCATCTATGCAGAGGGTAGGAATACTCTGAGGGCTTATCAGGATGTGGAGAGTCTCATGGAGTATCGACTGAAAGAGTTGGAGAAAGACATCGACGAGATTCGCTTCAAGCTGAAGCTTGATGAGGTGATAAATCACAATCTGTGACGGACATTCTCTTCAGCTGGGCATGGGAAGAATTACTTTTCCTCCCTTCAAATCTTCATACCCTTTTTTCACTCACGATAAAATGGTTGACGAAATTGGACGCTCACAATTGTAGCGCTCTAGCAATTTTCATGGCCCACTGAAAACGCATGAAATTTTCATGAACTCGCATATACCGACATATGCAATTGTTTACTTTATCTTCTGGCGGCTTCTCCTTTACTTTCCGGCTTCCTTGTCATGCTATGATTATATTCTGCTTCAGACGGTGCGGCAAAGGCTGAGTTGGAGGTGTTGTCACAGACTCGTTACTGAACCTCTGTTGAACGTCATCAGATGGATCCAACCGAAGGCTGCCGTGTGCGCGAAGAGACGATGGAGTCACAGGGAGGGCAGGGTCCCTCCAACGTCAAATACATCCAGCTCACCCCTTCCTGATTGCAATTATGCTATTTTGTCTTGGGTTGTTGCACACACACATAGGCTACGGCAAGAGCTAAATCGCAGGCAACTCTCGTGCATGGCGATGACGTCTCTCTGGTTGTTTACTACAAGATTTTGTGAAATAGGGTTGTCGTATTGCAATCAGTATCCTGCTTTCAAAAATGGTGCGACCATGAGATTCATTTTACTCATGCATCAAACAGTGAGCATGAGATCATCGAGAAGTATTATCGCAAGTCTTTAGTGTTGAGCTACGTCACTTGCAACCACCGGCTATGGAAGCTATTGATCGGATTTATAATAAGTTATGCTCATTTTATGGCTTCCTGGCAGTTAATATCATCAGGCGATCTTGTGACAGACTTAAAATCATGCAGGACATAATTCTCAATTCGTGATGCTCAAGTTGAGAGCTGCTCTCTCTCTCTCTCTGTTTGCAATTGCACTTTACAAATCAAACGACCTCTGAGATTGACTACGCGTCGATTCTACAGAACACCAATGGTTTCAGACTGCTATAGGGCGACAATTGTTGGTCGCTTTAACCATTCGAGTTCAGCCAACCACAAACTCGAATCTCTTCATAGCAGACCGTAACCTATGGCTGTTGTTCGTTTTCATTCTTTGCATCCGGCAGTGAATTCATGACTTGATAAAGCAACCGAATTCAGAACGCGACGGATAAATAGAACAAAACAGATCTATTCAAGTGGACAAGAATCAACCAACTTGAAGGCATCGGTTTGGGAGCAGGGATCACGGGTCAGCCTACGAGATGTAAGGTTTACGGGGCGAACAAAACAAGTCTGGAGCAGGAGCCAGCTGGACTTCGAAGGGCCTGGATGATTTCACGAGACAGAGCCGAGCAGAGGGTAACAGACGGTTCATCTACGAGGACGAACGACGAGGCACAATCAGAGCAGGAAAAGCCATCGGCGTCGTGTGAGGGAGGGGAGGCCCTGACGGAAGCCTCAAAGTAGCCAACAATCAATTCGAACGACCGAAAGCAGAAAGTGCAACTTTTCAGCTCCCTTCACCTTTCAGTTGCAGGCATCAGTCCCCACGCATACAAGAATCGTGCTTTACGCTTCGGCCATCATTACTCGCGAAGCCTTGTGGACGCAAAATTGACGAGGTCTTCAGATTTTCTGACATCTCGAAACCATGTGCTGCCCACGAGGATTGGATTGGAGACATCTTGCGATGGCAACTGCTCTAGCACCTAAAAGCTCCAAGCATAAAATATGTACAGTTTATACGAGGACATGCATACAAGGCAAAAGAAACCGCGACTGTGATGTGCCACAGCGAGCTAGGCTGTCAGTGAATGGAATGTTCCGCTCTCTCCAGAAACGAACCTCTCGAACGCAAGGAGGTCCGCATTTGTGCCGAAAGCACCAGGAAAGGAACTCAGACTTACGGTGCTCGTAGGCTTCAGCGGTCAATGAATGAATGGCCCCGGTGTGCCCTGTTCTGTCAGCTGCAGAATATCGACCCAGACGTCTGCACATGACGCAAAAGACGCACATCTGTGACGACATGCAACCTCGATGTCCGAGCAAGTTGTGTACTTGTCGAAAGGAGAAAACCTGCTCTCGACGCAGCTCACTCACTCAAACGATAGCCAGCCATCGCAGGACGATGGATGGATCGACACGGAGAGACCTTGAGCGGGGCCATTCAGAAATCCAGAATCTTCCTGTTGCATGCTAACATCTCCCTCAGATTCTCAGACTCTCGGCTAACGTCGGAAAAGCGCTCGTAGGTTCGATCTGGCATATAGAAAACGCGTGCTCGAAGTGAGCCCTGCTCGCCACAACTGGTCCTCGAAGTGCATGCCCGGCAAAAGTGGGTGCACAAAGTCTCGACCTCTTTTGTTCGTTTGCGTGAGTCACCACAAGTGTCCATGCATCGATCGGATCAGCTGAGGCTGACGAGCCGGCAGCTCCCCGCAACTCCCCAAGGCCACAAGTCAACCTCTAACTACTTCGTCCTCGAATACTATTTTCTATTGAGGCAGATCAGTTCCACCCTGGTCCAATATGCACTGCAATGTCCTTACAATCCGGACGGAAGTACCTCGCCGTGCTACAGAGATCCATCCTCCTCAGCTGAACAGGTCTCTGATAACGATTGACGAAGCAATCACCTCGATCCCGAAGGTAAATGTCGGGGAACACAGCTTGCACGAGTGCCTGAAGGCGAAGGGTCTGTGTGGCCTCGATTCTCTGTATTCGGGACAGCCTTTGGGACTCAGATCGAGCTGTGGCTGATCGAGCATGACGGAAGACTCTCGCGTCAACGGGAGGGATAATTATAAAATTAAAGAAAAGGTTATGTTTGCTTGTTTGTCGAGGGATCGACATGAATTCGGGACATGTTCCAGCATGTGAAAGTGGGGGCGAGTCTTCGGTACGTCGAGCTCGGTAAAGCCGAGCGGTTGGGAAAGTGAAGTGTACATGGCGCGATGTATCGACAAAACGAACGAACGATCTTCAATGATCTCACAGCACTGCGGTTCCATGATCGCTCGAGCTCCAAAACGATCTTCAATGAGCTTGCAGCACTTTGGTTCCATGATCTCTAAAGCTCATGCCTTATTAAATGTAAAGCGGCTGAAAGGAGCACGTCCAGAGCTCGAGTGGCTCTATCGGGCTTAGCTGTTCTGGATTGAGGGCCTCAAGGAGGGGCGAGGTGGATTGAGGTGGATTGATGTGGATTGAGGGCTCCGGGAGTATTTCGGAAGGTGCAGGATTTGGGACCCAGTGGCTTGCGAATGGGGTCCGAATTTGGTGGCCTTTCGAGCCCTCCTCATTAAGAACGGCGACCGAGGACTTCGTTAATGCGAGCAGCGAGGACACGAAAGTCAATTTTCGCTACTGGCAAGCATTTGATATGCACGAAGACTGAATCAAAAGCATGCATCTGGGTCCACTCGCGAGACAACAATGGGCCAAAGAAGGTAAAAAATTGATTGAATCTCTTGGCGAAAGGAAGCGAACTCAAATCGAGCACAGATCTCCATCACCAGTTTTGTCATGTTCCCGACGGCTCTGACATTCATTCCTTTTGACTCGGGCTGACCGACATCCTCCTCCCCATGCGCACTCTCGGCCATGCACTCTGACTTTCCTCCAGTTCATGCCTCGATCTGAAGGTCCGCAATTGGAGCTTCGTGGATCACTTCCATCGTTGACGATATCTTCCTTTGGCACCCCATCCTCGAGACGGGAGCCAAGTGACTTGCGAAAATGATGCCAGAGGGCCCCGTCCAACATGAAAGCAATCGGTGACCAATCGTATCCAAGTGTTAAATTATATCCGACCGCATCCAAAATATTCAAGCTACCAATTGCAAGCAAAAGTAGTATTTGTATGCTAGGTCATTGTGCACTACTTCGATACTTGTGACTTCACATTTTTTCAATGACGGAAGGAAGAATTCATATTTTTTTTGTTTTGGTTACTATCACTGTCACTACGCTAGTTGTCCAACAAGGACAATTAATAATCACTTCGCTAAAATACCTTCGTATCTGGTGCAAGGATAGTGATTCCATGATCGTGTATTGCCATAAAGTCACCAAGATATATGTCTGTGTGCTAACTTCTGTATCACCAACTCAAAGATCACCGATTTATGAAGTCAGTTCAAATTTCCATCATCTTGTTATCAAATATATTGAAGTGTGATAATAATGTATATGCCCGATGAAGCTTAATATTTCAACAAGTGATAGTATATGATATTCTACCTTCGTAGAAGATGTCCATCTCCTGCAATAAATCATTGAAAAATTCAACGTGTTTCGGCGTGACAGAAAATTGTAGCATTCTTGGCATTCATCAGACTTCTACTATTATCATGCATGTCTCTAAAAAACTGAAAATAAAGAAGACTGTGACAGGTATATCAAGCTTTACAGTTTGGTCATTATTGATCGGACCTAAAAAGTTTGCCACTCAAATTTGATTGCTAATGTATGACACGTCTAATAAATCTAATACTAAACAATAAAAATCTCCCTACGACCAATTGGGTTCTTAGTGTCTTACCTACTAGGAAATGGGATCTTCTAGGCGTGCGTCAATCTCATAACCCGGATAAATGCTTTGCGAATCAATTGATGCACAAGCACCGGCAACAATAATATATCAACTTGCTGAAATTCCAAAGGCAGGTGAAAAAGTTGAAATGTATCCTGGTGCTAATCTTCGCTCTGGTCAATCTCAACCCCTTGTCGGAATCTCTCTCTCATCAATTTATTCTAGAGAATCCAAGTTCGTGCTTGCAGCTGTGAGCAAACTATCTTCAGAAAGATCTTGCATGCGAAGGTCCGTGTGACATGCACTGAGGGTCAAAGTCGTTCACCTCCTCATGGCTCTCATTGTGAGAAAAACGAATCGCGTTGATTATATCCTTATCCAAAACATTGACTGAATTCAAAGTCTACGACTGTCTACCGCACTTTGAAGAAAGATAAAAACATGTGCGTCAGCTCCCAATTCAGCCTTCGTATGTGCAATTATGTACTGCCATAGCTACTTGTTAGTTAGAATTCATTTTTTTCTTTAATTTAACGGAAGACATTGGTCAGAATCGGGCAGAACACAAAATTCTGCAAGTTCATACAGTTGTTGCCCTGATGTCCAGAATGACACAAATTCGAGCCTCGTGCTTCACATGATTGCGAGTTTATATATGCGCACTTCTCCTACGGGGGTGGCAATGGTGTTGAACTGCGCGTAGCTGAGAAACTGTCAATTGCTCCGGAGACAAACCTTGACATGCTTACAGAAGTCTCTCTCGAACAAACTTACATTGGTAGCTTTCTTCCAAACGCTTTCCCCATCACAGAAACACTTGTACCTTTCAGAAGGCTAACCATGAGAGGAGCTTCTCGTGATACAACCTTGCATTAAATTCTCGCTTCCAAAGTGGGTAAGGTGCTGACTGAAGATTGCATCTACCGATACTGATACAGCTCATCGTAAATAACAGCAACACTCTGCAACTTTCCATGGGTTCATCATCTGCGAACGTGATTTCAGCCCTGACAAAGTCATAGGTGTGTGAGACGTGGTATCATATGAGTCTCATGTTGATTGTGACGATACCATTTCTTTCTAACGCTGAATCTGTTCGCGTAAACGATGAGCAACCCGAGCAGGTTCGAACTCGAAAAGATTGAATTTGTCTTGAAGTTCATTATACATACACACAAAACAAAACGGAGTTCTTAAAGTGGAATGATTGAGACCTCAGAGCTGTGAACTCGAGAGGTTCGTCGAAGAAAATCACGTCAAAATGATGTTGTTGATATTCTTCTGATTGAGTCGGTGAAAACAGCTAGCATGGAAGACACCGATTCGGTAACTCGCAATGCGCGACCGGATTCATAAAAATGTCAAAATCACTGGCTGGCTCACAATGTCACACAGGATCAGTCGTTGAATAGCGTTGACGTATTAGCTGGTCAAGACTTTGGTGGCTCTTTGAGAAAGATCACAATGTTCCCACCTCTGAGTAAGCAACAAACTTCGGCCTGGAAAGCATAATTGCCAGGCTGATTGATGCTTGTGGGGAAAGGTAAACCGGGAGCATGGATGGGTAGACCCTCAGCAACGCGTGCCATTGGTCATGCTAATCAATAGCACACCAAATCCTGAGCTTTCAGCCGAGGAGCATCTGAAACACCTTCTTCGTCCCTACTCCCTACTCACCGGATGTACCTAGAGTGATCAGCGAGACATTCGCCTGATGTCACTTGGAGGAGGTCCATCTAGAGGCGACTTTCTGCAGTCCGACCGACCGCCTCTATTTTGAGGATGGCAGGAGGACATCAGAGATAAACTCCCTGAGAAGGGAGCAGAGCTGACCAAGCGACGAGGGTATCATCTATCAACTTGTGCAGATTCTCGAAGAGCTTGAAGTTTTCAAAAGTTGTTCTTTCTGATGACCACTGGAATCAGTCCACGTGCTGTTGGTCGTCCAGAAATCAGGATCGGTATTATTATGCCAAAGCTTAAAAATGTTCCCACGATCTTAGCCGTGAGCCATCTTGAGTGATACTGCTCTTCCTTGGGAAGACATCCAAACTTGTCCTCGGTTTGGAGGAATGCTTTCCGAGTCCAACACGTTTGACCTCGTTTCTTGCAACTTTGGATCTAGTGGGACGAAGAGCGGCATCTTCTGCGACCTCCACACTTGCTCTCTCTCTCGCTCTATGCTCTGCTCTGTGGAGTCTGATGGCAACTATATATCTCAGTAGCAGCTGACATTGGTACTCACTCATTGGCCACTCATGCAACCTGACAGCGACTTTACGTTACTGTCGTCTGATCATCTTTCTGACCATTCCTCCTGAAGCAAGAGGAGTCTGGCAGACGTAGCCTTCAGCTGCTCGTGGCACTGAAGCTCTCGATCCCCAGGTACTGGAAGGTGGTGAGCTATTAGTGCTGTACATTCTTCTCAATTTAACAATCAGGAGGATCTGACCGCACTCTGCTTCGATCTCTGTCATCTCTGAGCAGTCTGAACGTGATGGCACAGTGCGAGCATTACCGATTGATCTGATCATTCTTCGTAGACCTGACCTTTTGGCCGTTATTTGTACAGGGGAAACCAGAGCTGCCCACTTTTTGAGCCGCCTCGCCTCGATACGATCAGTGGTGCGGAATTAAGCCACAAGATCTGCGGAATCTCGAGCTTCTCAGTTTAGAATGGCGACTAGAATAAAAATTATGCCCCAGAGCATGTTCGCCATTATTATGCTCCTGTCGAGCATGCACCTGGCGTCTACCAATGTGCAAGGAGCATTCGGGGGAGGGGGACTTCAAATTGGATTCTACGCCTTGACATGTCCTTCTGCTGAGTTTTTGGTAAAATCGGCTGTCTCCAGTGCTCTCAGCTCCAACAGAAGAACGGGCGCCGGTCTCATCCGTCTTCTCTTCCACGACTGCTTCGTCGAGGTGCGTGGCATTCATGAACTCTGCTCCCTGTCTGCATGAGGGAACCGGACGTGAGAATCGAACGAGGGTCTTGACTGTGAGTGGGAAGCACAAAATTGTGTGGACTGCAGAATCAGTTCGACGGAATCTCTGTAAACAAAAAAAATGGAGAAAGTCGAATGATTTCGAGCTCGCTGCCTATATCTTGAGTCCTGAGGTTTGCACCTTGAAAATCGATGGGTGAAGAACTCGGACTCATTGGCCAACCATTTGGGGGCAGCTGGACGGAGGGGAAGGCGTTATGAAATTGCTGTCAGCATGAAAACGAGGATTGTGTAACTGGATCAATTCATCTGGACGATGTGTCTCATTGATTCCAACTGTTTATTGAATTCATGTCTGCTTGATGAACCAGGGATGTGATGCATCTGTTCTGCTCGACGGGCCGAATACCGAGAAAACTGCACAACCCAATCTTTCGCTGCATGGATTTGAAGTCATCGACGCTGCCAAGGCCGCAATTGAGGCCGTCTGCCCGGGCGTGGTCTCGTGTGCTGACATCGTAGCCATCGCTGCTCGAGACAGTGTTTCTCTGGTACGTGCCGGATTTGAGTCTTTCACTTCTGCTCCAACCTATCAAACAATTCCATCGGGCTTGCATGACTGATTCTTCAAAATCATTTTCAAGTTGTTCATGACTCGTATGTTCTGCCATGTACGTGCAGCTCGGAGGCACTCCTTACCTCGTTGAGACAGGCCGTAAGGACGGAACTGTATCAGTGGCCGCGAACACAAACGACATTCCGTCTCCTCTGAACGACGCAGCGGCTCTGATCAGCAGTTTCGCCAAGAAGGGACTCAGTACAAGCCAGATGGTCATCCTTTCAGGTACGAAAAAATAGACTCGAGGATACTCGAGTGTCAGTCTACCTTCGCCCAAATCTAAATTGACCATTACCTTCGACAACTCTTGCCAGCAACTCTGTCGGTGGTCGTTGATCCCACTTGCTGCCGCAGTGATCTGGATCTAGAGCCTACTCGATTCTTCCTCTTGTATTGTTCTGCATCGAACGAATGCAGGAATTAGATTTCGTTAGACTTCTCGGTCACCCGTGAAGGAATCAGACTTTTGTCGATAACTTAAAGATGATAATTCTACTGACAGCAGTTCTGGTTTGATAACAATTACACATATAATGAATGCAGAGGCTAAATCAAGTGTCCTCGGAGCTTCTGTTTGCTAGCATTGATGAGGTGAAGGTGCTCATGTTGTGCAGGCGCTCACACGGTGGGAAAAGCACAATGCGGGGCTTTCCTGAACCGTCTGTACCCGACCGTCGACCCCACGCTCGACCCCGCCTACGCAGCGCAATTGATCGCTCAATGCCCTCAGAACGGAGACGCCACCGTGCTCAACGATTTGGACCCAACTACGCCTCTGCAGATGGACAGCAACTACTACAAAAACCTCATCCAGAGCAGAGGTCTGCTCACCTCCGATCAAACTTTGTACACATCGGGAGCCACCAAAGGTTTCGTACTCGGCAATGCCAACTTCTTCTGGTCGCCCAGCTTCTCGCAGGCCATTCAAGCCATGGGTCGCATCGGAGTGAAGACTGGTGCCAGTGGTGAGATTCGCAGAACCTGCCGCTCTATCAACTAAAATGAAGAAGGACTTCGTCGATAGAAACCTCCTTCAGTCTGTCTGCTAATGTCAACTGCGACAGTCTCCCGATCTCAGACACCGTCCCCGTCCAGCCAAGTTTTCTATTTACTCTCTGCATCTCATGTTTGTAGCGAACGAGGTATCGTTGCATTCAGCGACCTCTGGCATTACAGAATTAAATTCTCTAAATTCTCATTAGAGAATTTGTAGTTTTCCCTCTGATTGTTGCATTAGTTCGGGTTGCACCATCGACCATCAAATGTAAGTCTGTGGTCTTGTAGAGATTAAGTTTCGATAGCCTAGGACTTGTGTGCACGAGCAGTTGTGCGACCTGCCGGTACATAACCAAGTCGACAGGAACAGATTTCGATGGAAACCTGTTCCTGTCCTCGAGTTGGAATACTTGAGACCGTACATAGTCAGGATGCCCATTACAGGCTGTGTATATAAAGCTGATTTACATTGTACGAAAGAGAACTGCTCGTTCAGCAGTATGTTTGTTTCTCCATCGAAACGACAGATCGCAAGAGTGCATGAATGTTCATCAACCGTTGAAAGTTATCAGAACAAGCTCATCGATAAACTTCATAGAATCAATAGTAAACTTATGACCTGAACGGCATCAAGTAATTTTCTTACTTGCACACAAAATGCATCAGAACTGAACAAAGCGTGACCACACAAATCTTAAGGTCGCCACATTTTCATTCTGCATATCGTATTTCACAATTCGCCGAGCCTCGAACACTTTATGCAGCTGTGAGAACAAACAGCTCCATGTCTAACTGATTCGCCACACGTCCATCGTATGCATCGTCCTTGTAGTCCTTGCGTGGCCGTTCGGTATACGCTCTGAATAGCGGAGGTTAAAACTCTCCCGTGTGCACGTGAAGTCTGATATCATGCATGGCCCACCTCAGGCTTCCTTAACTTGCAGTGTCCAAAGATTGCCGGATTCTGGACGAATAATACCTACCACAGAGCCGATTGGAGTGCTTCTCAAGTAGAGCCACTGGGAATATAAAAAAAGGGTGAAGAATTTAATCACTGACTGTAAAGGTGAAGATAACCAGAGCCCCTTTCGGAACATTGTTCAGCACTTCAGTGACAGCTTTTATGCATCATGTGTAGATCGAGGCTCGTACTGAAATATCGGATTGTACGATTCGGACTCGTAGTTTGTTGGATGTGTGATCCACATATTTATCTGGATGTGCCATACATGAACAAAGATCAGAGAGATGGAGTCCAGTGCAGGTGGATGATGTAAGGGGTGACATCAGTAGTCACAGAGCATGGGGCCCGGTTTTGACCTCGTCAACTCCCCTCGTGCATCTTTTTGGAGTGAGCAACTCAATGCGATCGTGGCCTGTGGGTCGTCTCATGGGCATTCTTTGTTCCAGGTATCGATCTTTCGAGTTCGAGTTGGGACACCCGATCGGCAGGGTGCAGGCAGTCGTACCTTCAGGACACTTTGGATTTTTGGATAACGTACTTATAATACGGAGAAGGCAGGCCGTTTCGAGTGTATATCTAAGAGCCTGGTGCAGAGCGCATGAGTAGCAACAGCGAATGGAAAGGAGAATGAAAGTGCAGAAGTACACTGATTTCAGGGTTCTCTTTAGGTGAAAGTGTTTTCGGCTAAGAGCAAACATTTTGCTAACGAGAAGTAGAGTGTACCAAGCAGATTCATCGCCGTACCCAAGCATGAAAAGCGATCAATCAGTCAATTGCAACTGCCAATTATAATTTCTTCATGAGCTGGTTGAACAGCCCGACCGTTACAGGAGTAAATAGAGCGCACTTTTGCTCAGAATTGCACAACTCCTTGACATTCCAAAGAGCATGAATCACAATCTGCTGATGCTCGTACAGTGCATGTCGTTCTTCAAGCTTCAGCTGACTGGGTCAATCGAAGAGGGGCCCGATTTGAGAATCTCGGCCCAAAACAATGACTATTAATATGAAAGAAACATAAGAAGTAATGATCACTGAAAAGCTCTGAGGATCTTTATCCTCATGATTAGGCTAGCAAACAACTGCAGTGGCAGCTTTGGAGTAACTTTCGCAGTGCAATAGTCTCCTTCGAATCTTGATGAGGGACATGTGATTCACATCAGCTTGTGAACGGGGAGAGAATCAGTCCATCAAATAGGTAATCCTCCGATGTGGGTTACCTCCCTTTGTGGAGGATACAGGATAAAATCTGTCGGTCCTTATATCAGGCCAAAACAATTCTGTACACGAGCGGGACTGCTTGCTTTTGAATGTTAGGCTTTAACTACACGGCAGTATTGGCGAATCTGACCATCTGAGCCAGTCTTCACTCCGATGCGACCCATGGCTTGCATAGCGTCCGAAAATTGGTCCTCCCACCAGTAGGAGTTGGCATTGAGGATGACCTGCTGCTGAGTGCTGGAAGATGTGTAGAGCGTTTGATCAGAAGTCAGCAAACCCCTGTTGTTGATCAGATTGCTGTAGTACTGACTGTCCAACGTCGTAGGCGTGATCAGATCCAGGTCGGTCACAGTTTCGTTATTGGTATTAGACTCTGGGCACATGGCCTTCAAATTCGCTGCATACGACGAGTCTAGGCTTGGGTCGGTGTTCGAAGTACTGTCGAAGTTGTACAATCGGTTGCTGAATGCCCCACAATGAGCCTTGCCAATGGAATGTGCTCCTGGAGAAAACAACGGCTCACATATGTCAGTCCTTTGAACAACCAGTTGACGAAGTACTTACTACACATGTAATACGATATGGTAGAAGCTGTTCTGTAATTTTATAGGACCTAGCGAAACAATCGCGATATTTTCTCGAGCGGCTGCATAATTGAGCAGATTGTGAGGCCAGCAGATCCAATGTGCCTAAATTCAACGCCGAACTTTGGTTCTGAACTTTTAGTTTTGAAGTGCATCTCCGGCTTTGTCATGCATAGATCTCCAGCTGCAACTAATTGTCCTGAAAACGAAATATGAACTTGCCTGAAAGAACAACCATCTGCTCCAGAGACAGCCCTTTGGCGTTGAAGTTTTGGGTGAGAGTCTGTGCGTCGCTTAGAGGAGATGGAAAGTCAGAAAGTGCTGAGCTTAGTGAAACCGTTCCATCCCTCCGACCAGTCTCCACTTGATAAGATATACCTGCAAGCTGTTCAAAAGTGATCACTCCAAGTCAAATTCGATTCGGGCAGAGAAAGAATGCCATGAATTGTACGTCCTGAATCTATCGTGGTATTGCAGAAAATCGTATTCATTATCGTAGAAAAGGTCTACGTATGCGAACTCGGAAATAGCTGAAGTTGCAGTGCAGCTTAATATAAGTGTTGGTACCTGTCTGACACTGTCCCTGGCGGCAAGGGCAACTATGTCGGCGCAGGAGACAATGCCGGGACATACGGCTTCGATGCTGGCCTTGGCAGAGTCTATAACATCAAACCCCTGGATGGTGAGGTTTGGAGTGGCATCCTTTTCAGCTGTGTTTCCATCAGTTGAATCGATCAGAATCGAAGCATCGCATCCCTGGATGACGAAAAGATGATTAGTGACAAACTTGTGCTTATACTCTTCCGTTACGCTGAATGTCGTTGTCCCAGATTCCGTAGTGCCAAGAACTTGATCAAATTGAAGTCTGAGCCACTGGTTTAAGAAGATTAATTAAGACAATTTTGTACCAAAAAGTAAGTCACTACAAGAATCGACAAAATAACAAAAAAAGCTCTGGACTGGCGATTTTTTATGTTTTTCATATTGGCTCACCTCTACAAAGCAGTCGTGAAACAATAGTCGTATGAGTCCCGCTGCTGTTCGCTTGTTGTCATTTATGGCAGCTGTGACTGCAGAGTTCACTAGCCCCTCTGCACTGGGACATGATGTGCCGTAAAATCCGTATTGAAGGGCTCCTCCCTCGGCATAGAAAATAGATATACTCAACAAAAGTGCCACCAGTAGCACCTGAGCACTTGCCATAGTACTGGCTGTGCCAATCAAGCCCCTCGACCCTTTTGAACTTTCAGCGATGATATCAACAACAATTTGCTCGCTCTTCACGTGCAGACTACAGGCAAAATGTTCCTCAAAGTAATATAGGTGTAGAAGAAGCACGTGTGCTTCAGTGATCGCGCGTGTCGTATGACAGCAGTGGATAAAAGCCTCTAACTGAGGTACAGAATCCAGTACAAAGCTCGTGATTGATCCGGAATCCAAGCTTGCTCTTCTGGCCGAAGCAAGTTCAATACCTTGGACGACTGGTAGACGAAGATGAATGATCAATCTGCGCAGACAGTCTTCGTTTAAGTACATCTGGAGGCGCAGGACATGGAAAAGCTCGATACGTATTGTTCTTTCAAACGACGAAGTCCTCACCAGTTTTCACTCTGTTTCAGACTACGTCAATACTGTCAGTCTGAAAACCGAAGTTCCTGCGCTCCGACTGTTTTGCCATGACTCGGTCGACCTTCAAGTGGAACTTACATGGGACAGGTTTATTCAAAAATTCTTGGGAAGGTCCTTGGGCATGTCGTGTCCAGGACATAATGTTCAGCAGCAATTCATCCCAAGCACAGAAGGGTGTGGACTATATTCTCTCTAAGGATGCAAATGCCTTCTCATGTTTGCTTACTTAGACCAGGTTTCCATCCTAAGCTCCACTCGCACGTCAAGCTCCCCATTTAGTATGTATGTATTATAATCATTATTTTAAATTTTAAATCAGCTGGTGTGGACCGCATTCCAGTTAAATAAACCCAGAACTTTTCTAGTTTGCACATATTTGATAACACGTTATTTTGGCATTTTCCCGCTTCCCAAACTTGTGTCACTTTCACTAATTCAGTCAGGTTGTAGAAATGTGACCTTCGTTATGAACACTTACCCTACTATATAATCTTGTCCAGAGCCCAAAGAAGGAACACAAATGACTCTTCTTCTGATCTCAAATGTGGTTTCATGTCTTCCACAACTTTTCAAATGTTTATAACTGTGAACTAAGACTTGACCAAAAGCAGTTTGAAGGATTTCATCGTCCTCCTAATTGCGCCAAATTGTTCGATAAATTTATCATTCATGCAGCATTTATAACATGCAGCAACCTATCGCTAATTTGCTCCGTCTGCTGGTTGAAGACTCCCCTCCCACTTCAATCAGGACTATTCAACTAACGCTACGACCTGAAACACTGACTTCCGTCCCAATGCGTCTTGAGCACGACTAGTGAAGCCTGAAGCCACAGCTAAGCTTTGAACAAGCACCTTGGAGTCTTGGACCAAGGTTCTCGGGGAGCTCGTGTGACGACTATCAAGGTATCATCCAAGGACTGCATCATGAGTTCAGACTGTTCTTAAAAACTATTGTTGCTTTCATTTTTAATTAATATATTGTTTTGGGGTCCCCTGCCCGAAACTCCACCAAAGTCCGCTGAGGCTGTGAAACCTTGTCCTTCTGCTGAAAGTCCAAACCAACCTCCCTTCGGATCGAAATATGTTTTCGAAGGTCCTCCCTGAAATTGCCGCTCGAAAAATTTTGGCTTGGGACCCCGAAATGAAAACGATAGTGATAAAACGTTCGAGATAAAACGTAAACTGATTTCAAAGAGATTCCTACTGACCATCGACAGAAATTGTTTCCGCCTTGTGGAGAGAAATGCAGTTTACACTCAATGGACTTTGAATGGGCAAAACGCGTGCGTGAGCACGAGCATGAGCATGTCGGGATGTTGATAAGTGGTCTCGCAACGGAATTATGTTGCCTTCAGAGAACTACTGTGAACCAATAACGTGAGAATCATCTTTCTCCTCTTCAGAGCTGATTATACTGACTTTCTCATCTTTGACTTTTCTTCTATTTTTAGTGATGTGATTTATTCATTCATTCATTCATTCATTAGTCAAAGACTTCGTTAGTAAATGAAAGGTTAAACGTCGAGGTAACTTCCACCATTAGTTTTTGCGTCTCCTTCACATAATTGATACATCCTTCATCCACCGCTAAAACTTACGGATGAGGCTGAATGCATATTTCCCAGGAACTTTTTAATATGTGGAGGATTATACTCTATACCTCTCTGTTAGCTCTACGTTTTATTGGGCATTTCTCGAATATTAAGCTCACTTACTATCTCTTGTTTTAGGCTGTGATCTGACGTTTTCATTCATGTTTTGTATCACCCTGTCAAAACTGCTGAGCTGATATGTGAACCTATAGTTCGATTCTTGTCGTCTTCTGAGAAATTGTTTGATTATAAGTTTTGTAAGCCAGACTCGGGGACTGTTGATCCAGTGTCTGTCAAGACCAGGAGTAATCCAGCTGCAGGTAGCACCTTGTAGTGACGTGAAATTGGAGAGGGAGTTTCCACTTTCACAGGACTTGTCCAGTCCAGTTCAGGTTGATTCTTTGCAGTTTCAAGCTGCAATACTTTGGTCGTCATACTTCTGCCGTCCGCTGAAGTATCAGATCGGCGTCATGTGAGATGAGAAGGTACAGCTAATAGGCGTAAAACATTCTCCATTACAATTTTGGGGCCTATCATACCTGCTGAGATTGAACGAGAGATGGAAGCGATAAGCGTTGACTAGATTCCTCGTCAATTTCCAACCACGATCGTTGCAGCTGCAATTTTACTCTTCATCTTCGTACGAGAGTTTTCAGATTTTTGTCGCACAGAAGAAACCGAATTCAGCATACATACATACATACAACCTAGTCATCTGCTGAAGGACTCACGGACACAACTCGCTATTGATCCCGATCGAGTAGGATAGGTTGTCTGCCGAGGTACAGAGTTTTGATCATCAGTTCACAGCGAATAATCGATTGAACAATCGCTCAATTTGTGTGCAACATGTATTTTGGCCACGGTTTGCATCGCAAGAAGTTGAATTTGATAGTTTTGTAATAAGGGCATAATTTGCGTGAAATGCCCATTTTCTAGATACATGCGTTATATCGAGTTCAGCTTCCTAGATGTTTACTGTAAATCGGTATTTGCTTGGGTGCATGATTACATTAAGTCAGTCGGAATGAACATGCGGATGTTGGCGAGGATCATGTGCGGACTATCGGAAACGAGTTAAGCAAGACCTTACAGATTAGAGAACAATTGCTACAACGGTAAGCGATGAATTCAAAAGGCTGATGTTTCCGGAAATGATGGTTTCATTGGTTCTTGAGATAGACTCGACCAGTTGCTGATTTGACAGCAATAAGATAGTATGACTCGGGCTTTAGGTTGACTGCGAGAGAGTGAAGCATTGAGACAAGTTTCGTCGATTTGGCTATTTTATCAATTAGATCATTCATCTTCTCCCCCGACCTGGTATCTCCTCAGTCCTTTGTGTCGCCCTATTATCAACGCATGCAGCATTCGCTTCTTTTACTTGATTCAATACAAGATGTATTGTTTGATCAAGACTCGATAGATATTGTATCGCGTCCAATTGGGTCCCATTTTCTCGCTTGTGAGTTATAACAGTCTGCTCTTCACAATTTCGAAGTGTACCACTAAACATTTACAGAATCGCTCTGATAATCTACCTTTCGTCACGTCATCAATTCTGTTAATGGTATCGAGACTGAACGCGAGGGCCGTCTCTATGGTTCCCAAAACCCTATCTTCCTCTCAGTCAAAATCGAAACCTAAGTCTGGCAACGAAGATTGGTTGTCGTTGGACATCGATCGTCGATACGTTTGAAGAGGATTTGGGAAACTCATCGGGGGAACACTTCTTACCCTGGCGTTCTTTCCTTTCTGCTGCTTAAAATCTTGGAGGATGTCAGGATCTTTCTTGAGAGGATAAGCATCTCCAAGTCGAAACCAAAATTCGGCAACGAAGGAAGGTTGTCGTTGGACATAGAACGTTTGAAGAATCTTTGAGAAACTCATCGAGGGCACACTTCTTACCCCGACATTCGATCCTTTTTGCTGATTGAAATCTTGGAGGATATCAAGACCTTTCCGGCGAGAATGAGCGTCTCCAAGTGTTAATTTGGCTTCTCAGAACACCAACATGTCGACCGCCCGCTTCTCGTTTTGCTTTACAGCCTCTTGATTCAGCGCCGCCTTCCGGTCCGTTGCTCAGGAGGCTCGTGAGACATCTAGTTCCTAATTAGTCATCTAGTTCCTGGGAGAGTCAAGTTTACTAGCAGAAGCCCCAGGAGGAGCCCCACCGGAAGGATCTCGTCATGGGGCTCCTGCAAGTGAACTTGACTCATGGAACAGCAGCAGTGCAAAATACAATGGCTCATGAAAACGAATATGTCGAATTTAAACACAACGGCAGTTGGTGACTATTCTTCTTCTCCTAGTCCTCGCTGTACAAACACGGGTTTTAGGGTTTAGCCCTAAACACGGCGGCTGTACAAACTGCCGCTTCCCGCTCGATCTTTGCGCCGCCTCTCTGCTACGGCCTGTTGCAAAGTGTAAACTCATTTGATGAACCTCCATCTTCGCAGTCCAAGTTCTCTAGAGTATGTCAAACACAGGAGAAATTCATCGGGGCTTGTCGAGAAGGCCAACATTGAAGTAGGTTCCTCATTCCTCGATGAGACCAGAGATGTGACATGCTCAAACCAAGAACCCACCTCAGAGTCTCAGATCGAACGGTGGCCTCGGCAGTTTGAGTGATCCTTTTGACAAATCTGAAAACTGCTCCCGATCACAGTACTCGTCCGGAGTCAAGGACTCAACGACTACACCCTTAGCCCCGCACTATCCATGTGGTGATTCGGTGAGCTACAGTTGTGGGCATTTATCTCAAAGGCCAGAGGTCGTGTGTTCACGACTCGCTAGACTAGCAATTCCAACGGAGCCTTTCATGGGGGCGATTCAGCCACTACCAGACGCTTGGAAGTGCTCATTGGAGCAGCAGTGGGTGCTGAACAGCGAACCTCAGTCCAAATAGCCTCTTGTCCAACATCGGATCAGCTGATCGGACGGTGCTAGAGTGGACACGTGTGTCTGCAACCTACCTGACACAGTGTGTGACCCAGAAGACATGTCACTGCGTGCCTCCATTTTATGCTGCTGAAGCAGCAGCAGCAGCTGCAGCAGTTGGAGCACATCCAGTTGTCATCTGTGTAACATCCACTTTGGCCGATTGAGGTTTCGTTGCAGGAGATCAGATAGGAGAGAATCCACCGTCAAGTTGTTGGTAGTACTCAAAACAGAACGGGACCAAGAAGCTTCTCAGGATGTTATAAAGCTTCTCAGAAGGCCATTTGATGTCAAGTTTAGTATAATCCCTCTGCCAGATGCCAAATGGACCTCTACTGTGTCATTCAGTGTTATTTATAAGCGTGTAGACGTTGAGCAACTGCACTAATGTGTGAGCTTCTGGACCTTATAGCATGAAATAGTTTGTACCGAGGACTATTAGTTTGCTGATACATGATTTCGATAATGCAGCTTTACAAAGATAAATTACTACTGGCTTTGAAAATGTTTTATCAATCTAGATGATTTTCAATTTATATAATCTAGTTGATGGCTGTTATCTCAAGCTATATGTATGTGATTGACTTTGTGCACAGTTGATAATCTTACTCCATTTAGTACATTTATGATTCATTACGACAAAACTACATACTCAATACATATCACGAGCCATAAACATTCCGAAATCGATACATTTTTATTTGTTTGTAATGAGAGACACCAGTTATTATTTTTTCGCTTCTGAAAATTTACAATTTTCTCATTGTTCAAATGTTGAGGAGAAACATTTTGGTACAAAGATAGCTCTAGACATGAACTAGTTTTTATTAAAATAGAAATAAAATATGTAATTAAAATTTTTAAATAAAAAAAATTAATAGAGTTTATAAAAAATTTAAAAATAAATTAAAAATATTTTATTATTTAAGATGTTCACTCAAAACATTATAATTTCAGTTAGTTAGATCAGATATATCATACAAGAAAATCTATTGTAATTCTCAACGACACAAAAGTTAGAATTTCCTAATAAAAAACTTTGTATTTCAGTGGACCTGAATTTTTTGTAGATGTTGATCACATATTTCCGGTTGATGATTTGAATTTTCACGTGGATATAGTGACAATTGATATTAGAAAATTAGCCTTGCTTCAAAGAGAATGCGCACTTGGCGAAGATTGTTAATGGTAGTAAGTGATCTTGGACTTGCTTACGATTCTTGAAAAAAATGTCTCGCTTCTTGTGCAGCATCAAGCGGATCTATTGATAGACAAGTGCAGTGTCTGAATCAATTCATGATAGTTTTTGTTCATAGACTTGATAATTATAACACGATTGCTATTTGCTAAAAAAAAATCATTGGAATTCTTGTCTCAAATTGGAAGACTATCGCAGGTTCTATTTTTGAATCGCAATGATTTCAATGGAATCTTGGTCAAAAACTCATAACTATCAAAATTATGATGGTCAACTAACACCAATGTCTTGGTCACAAACTCAAAAGTTATCACAATTGTGATGGTCAATTAACACGCTCTGATGGTCAATTTGAGTTAGAACGTCTTGTTATCAAATATACTATGGGTCCAAATTGGCTCAGAAAGTCAATGGATGAGTTCTTTCTTGACTGATTTCTTGACGGTCGATATGCAAAGCTCTATTTCCATCACAAAGTCAATGGCCGGGTTCTTTTTCAACTTATAGCAACTGTTGGTATCGGTTTGCAAAGCTCCAAGACCATCATGCGAATCAGCACTGACATCTTTATATTTCATCGTGAATACGAGTAGATATATGTAGAATCTCTACACTAGTGACTGATGATTGATGGATTATTGTATGGTAAAAGATTGTAAATTACTTAGTATTTTTGTACATTTTGAAAAGAAAGTTGATGATATATTTCCATGACCGGAAGATTAATCAAATGAAATGCTCGAGTAATGTTGTAATCGTTTCACTCATATATCATAAAAATATTTTCAATGGATGGCTTTATGTAGTTGGGCAAAGTACCTAATTTGTTTAAAGACTTCAAGACTCGACTAACATAAGATGTTTTATCTGCAGATGAGTCATATCTTAAGGGTGACTGTGTAAGTTCTTTGTAGTTGTTCTTTTGGTATTATTGCTATGCATATTAAAATTCATCATAAATATATGGATTTTGAATTGGAAAATTGTTGATCTTTGAGTAGTTAGTAATTTATCTCTCATATTAATACCCCAATATATCATAAAATTTATAATGTGGAAACTTATTAATTATGCAATCTTTTTTAAAATGTGGTAATGAAATGAACAATTAGATATATTTAAAATATGATGGCAAAATGTCATGGATACTTAAGAGTTGAGGATGTTAGCAAACTATGATGTCTGACTCTTTGAATCAATTAGAACCATATAATAATTGTTAATTATCAATTGTGTTATAAATTATACCATTATATTATTAACTAATTTACAGTAAAAAATCTTCCAATTCACGACTGAGTTGATAAAGTAATCTGATGATCTCATGAGATTATCAACTTTTTGTATGTACTTCTTCCATCCAACTTTCAGTTTCACTATAAACTGCTGTATTTTCCAATTAACAATGACAAATAAACAAACAACTGATAATAATAAATAAATAATTCTTATCAGTCATATTATGAGAATGTAAATAATAAGAAGGAAGGATGTATTAAAGATATGCTAGTCTACTTTTTTTACGTGTAATTTTCTCTATACAAAATATATTATAATTTTTACTTTTTTTTATGAAACCAATTTTATATCACACTAGATATATTATTGGAATTTTAAAATAAATTTAAATTAATATAAAATAATCTTTGTAAACTAATTTTCAAAATATGCAATTTATAATACGTTTCCAAATACTAAAAATATGTACTTTTCAAAAACAGTACAATTCTTTGATCAAATCTGAAAGTATAGTGATAGATAAATGTTACTTCTTATATAATATCTTTTCATATTTCATCATCATATTTCAATATTCAAATTTATGTGTACTTTCACAGATTCTTTAAAAACTTTAGTTCAATACTTAATCTCTCATCTTTATGCGAATGAAAATCATGAACTGTTTTTGAACAGATTTTTTAATCAATAAATTTTGACATTCTTGTATTGAACATATTTTTTTAAACTATGTTAAAAAGAAAAACGTCATGTCATATTTTGTTCTATTTCATGTTAGCTATATTTACTTTTCAATTTAAAAATATGACATATTCAGTTCTTCTTTTTTGGCAAAGATTATATATTTCAAATAAAAAATTAGAATTTATAAAATGTATAACATATAAAAATAAATTTTATTAAATATATTCTAATTTCAGAATGATTTGAACAATTATAATTTTTCAAAAAAATATTTTAATAATTGATTGATAAATTAAAGAAATTTTATATTGATGTTTTAAAATATTTTTTCATGAAAAATACATAAAACTTGATTTTATGAATATAATAAATTTTTCATAATATTAAAATCAGTTGCTTCAATTGCAAAAAATGAATCTTGCACAATCAATCATATAATTTATTTTATAATAATATAATATTATTTTTCATGTTGTTATTCATAAAATCTTAAGTTGTCTATCACATTATGATAATGTAGTTTTTCATTTTTTTTGAAAAGATTAAGTTTGAGAAGTAGATGAATAGAATTTATACTTTTAGTATAAGAATAATTAGAAGTAGATTGAATAAAGGATTATGCAGAAGATAACAAGTTAAAAATAGTTGTACTTAGTGTTTTATTTGTAGACAATAAAGTTGAATTAGATGAATTATGATCTGCTAGAGTAAATGCTTCATAACTTTGTCAAATAAAGATAACTTGATTTAGTTATGATTTTGATGAATAGAGCTTAGCATGTTTGTTCTAACGAGCCCAAGAACTCCTGAAACGAATAAGTATTCACCGAGTTATGAGAGTAGGAAGTGGCGAGCATGGATTGGAATTGAGTTTCCGCGGCGATTGTGAAGGAGTGGCAAGAGGGACGCACGCTAGAGGGCAATGGAATTCGTGGCAAACTTGAGATTTGGACGATTGAGCAATGAGCTCAAGTCTTGAGGCTGTGTTCAGGTCAGGCAAGCGATTACTTCTATGACAACTAGAGCGTGAAGGTGACTCAATTCAAGCATATGACGCTTGCGAAGTTGTTCAAGACACTTAAATCGATCAAGAATGATGGCGAACAACGAATTACCGCAACTCGTTGAGACTCAATGTGGCAGTGGCAATGATGCA